AAGAAAGCGTGAGGGAGAGTGGTGTTTTAATGCGCTAAAGTCGCTATACTTCTATTTTGAATTCAAACGAAAGAATTCGCTGCCATGTTGTTTCTGACATCGAACTACATCATGACTCACGATATCAAGTCAATTGAACCATGAAAACTATCGGTTTTGCATCATAAAACGTCGTAAACATGTGCTTACATCCGAGGTCAGTATGGCGTCCCAAACAAATGAAGTCAACCATAGCAACGGCTGGACGCATGCGCTGTACCAAGAGTGAAACACGAGGCATTTGAATGTTGACTTGTCACGGCGACTTTATCAGATTAAACAGGGGCCTAAACTACTATTTTGAGTCTTATATAATTGCTGTTTGGTATATATTACTATTGAAATATAATTATTGAGTAAGAAAAAGCATTTAAAGAGAGAAATTTCACAAAAAACACATGTAATTCGTGTCGCGTGATCTCCGAAACTCTAGTCGTGTTTGTCAACACTCCGTGCCCAGAAAGGTCAAGTTGTATTAATTTCTCTCATATTTCAATCAAAATGGCTTCCATAGATACGAAGTTTTTGGCTTTTTTATTTCACATTGCGCTGAAGTATGGACTTAAATCCATCAAAAACGTATTTAACTATTACAGTAGCAGTTAGGGATTGACCAAAAATTGAAGATTTTTTTCCCACCCTGAAACAGTCCAAGTAACTTAACTAGTACATTACAAATGAATTAGCTCCAGAGCTAGGAGTCTGGTAAAATTCCTTCAAATTACCCAGTTCTTCATTTGTGAATTCCCCTATCATGTCTGGGGGGTAAAGGGGTTTGTGGCTAGTGCATACATCATATTAAACTGGGAAAACAGAAACCTTTGTCACTGAAGAAAACCAAAACTAAATCCTTAACAAATTGTGTTCGGAAACCCTATAACGTACCTGTTAACTCGTATACAAAGATACTAACCTTAAATGTATAAATAATGGCATTTTTGCTTTCTTTATGGTTAGTTTAAGCTTATCATTCGAATTATTTCATAGTTAATGGTGGTGAGAGTGTGAGCGTGGAATAAAGGCGGGAAAATATCGATGAGAGCACGTTTCCAATTCAGCACAATTAAAAGAAAATATTCAATGCAAGAACCATAATTATGACCAACAAACTAAAAATTATTAGTTAATGGTTAAGAAGTTCACATAAAAGTTATGAATACCTGACATTTTGCTCCTAAAAATGCTGAAGAAATGCCCTCCAACTGATTTTCACAACGTCTTTCAACCAAACATGGTGGTCAAGCGAACACCGAAACGAGGTTTAACAAAGGGTACCCAAGCATAGTTTTTGCAACTTTGTCGTCAGTTCACAGGTAGCCCAAGCTTGGTTTCTGTGGTGTCATGTTATATATAAGGAAATGTATGTGGATTCATCAAAAATTTCAATAAAACCATTGAAATGTGAAATACTGGTACGAAATACTGAGGGGGGAAAAATCCTTAAAACGGGCTAAATTGGCTAAATTCAAAAACAAAAACAAAAAAACAAGCAGAGCGAAAGTAATGATCGGGTAAAATTTCGAGGCTTTATTTCACGTTTCAATAATTTTATTGAAATTTTTGATGAATCTCCATACAATTCCTTTTAATAGGACACCACAGAAACCAAGCTTGGGCTACCTGTGGTCAGTTCATAGAAAACATACTTTCTAAAAATATATAAAGCTCTGCACATTCTCTAGTACCCGTATTACAAAATTATCTGCAGTGCTCTCAGATAAAGGTGAGCTGAGTTGGATGGTTCTCTTTCTGACTCCGAGGGTTTTTCCTGTTCTCGGTTTTTTTCTCTTAATCCGAACCTCAAATCAAATTTAAAATGGTAAGAGCTGTGCTCCGGGGTCATACATGCCCGCCTGTACAGCAGCTATCAGAGGAGCCCTTTCATGTTTTCAGTTGTACCCCGTTGTGCTACCTCACAGCTGTACTTTACAGTGATGATAAGCGAGGAGAAGATTTTCTCAAAAAATAGTTAGTGGTTGATTTAATTGAAATTTGAACGGGTTCTCTTAAGTACAGCTACCGAATCTACTACGAGAAACAAATCTTAGCAGCGGCGAAATAGCTGTACATGTCACTCACAAAAATTTAAATCTCGAACTTCATCGTTTTAAGATCTTTAACAGTTGGGGTTTTTTTTCTTTGTCTACGTAAAGATAAAAATCTTTACTTTCCAATCCAAGACAATCTACAGTCATTATAATTTTGCTTCGTAAGTACAATAAAATAGATGTAAAATTTTTGTTTGGTTAAAGCATTTCCAACGTTGAAGAGTTTTTACAGCGTGACGCATGAAATACCAGCGGTAATGACAGTGAATAGATGTGAAATTTTGTTTGGTTAAAGCATTTCCACTTCACCGGTGGTATTCCATGCGTTACGCTGTTAAAACTCTTCAACAGTGGAAATGCTTTAACCAAACAAAATGTTACATCTATTCACTGTCTTCACCGGTGGTAGTCCATGCGTTACATAATTAAACCTCTTTATCAGTGGAACCAATAACTAAGTAGAATGCGTACGTTTGTAGTAAAGCCGAAGCGGTAAAACTTTCTCACAGATATGGTACCAAAACAGTTATTTTTTTTTCACTGGTGGCATGCCCATTTAAAAACAAAACGCTTAAATTGCCACATGGTCCTCGCCGGAGGTACGCAAACCATTCTCAAAGTGTGAGTATTGCAAAATACGCTAACAAACGAAGGACTAAAAAACACGTTAATGGAATGTATAAATTATAAGACCTAGGTTTTGCATGACCGGATATGAATACAAGGGAGGACTAAAAAACCGTAGTAAAGTGAAATTCAATTTGAACAACGGAAACTTTGCGTTTGAAACGACATTGAAATTTACCCCACCAACGGCTCCTTCAGCCTGAACTTGGGTGTTCTCGCCGCCGKGTGGTAGATTTCTTTGGTTCGGAGGTACTTGGCCGTCCACTGGAGGAGGATCGTCAGCTAGTGGAAGTTGCTGGTTATTCGGCCCTTGATCATCAGCCGGTGCAGGCGGGATAACCGGCGGTTGGTCACGAACGGGCAGATCTAGAGGAGGAAGATTGTCTGCCATGCTGCTGGTGGCGGTGATACGAAACGCTATCCAAAAATGTATCCTTCCACGGAGTCTGATCTGTTGAAGTGACCACGCTCTAGATGGGAGAGTATATTTATATGACAGAGACGCAAAKAATCATGGCTATCGATTATAAGCATGATCCCGTCGGAATCTGGGATTTACATAACTTTTAGCGATGAGTTCATTAATTATGCAGTGAAAATATGGTCTTTCAGCGTGCCAGCTTAATAAAATACAGCGCGTTTTTTAACGCTGCCGCGAGACTTATTTGTTGCGCACCGCGTTGTCACATTACGCCACTATTAGTTGATCTACACTGGCTACCAGTGAAGGGACGTACGCAATTTAAGATCTTGCTATTTGTTTTCAAAGCTATTAATGGTATCGCACCTGATTACATATCTGAGCTCATCAACATAAAGGATAAGGGGAGTTGTAATTTAAGATCTAGTAAAGGTTTATTACTTGCCCCATTTAATCGCAAGACCAGGAAAACATTGGGGGACAGGTCATTTGCTGTGGCGGCACCCGTTCTCTGGAATGCACTTCCCGCAGACCTTCACGCCATTAAAGATGTTAGTTTGTTTAAGCGCCATCTTAAAACCCACCTTTTTTAAATTAGCATTTTGATAGTTTTTTAGTATTTATCAATATATATTTATTCATCTTATTTTCAAATAGTTATATAGTTATATATATTATATTAATATTGTAATGAGCGCATGATCATTGTATGGAATGCGCGCACAATAAGTGATTAAATTATTATTATTAAATAGTAGGGGTCGAAGGCAACTCCATCAACTTTATCATCCCTTTCACGGGAGCATGCAGGAAAGGCAAATTTTTTCATGGCCAAATTTTTGGTTTTGGTTTTGGTTTTGGTTTTCGGAAAAATAAATACAGATAATACCATAAAATATCAAATTTAGTGAAATTTAGCTTGGATGTCTTTTATTGAAATCCAAATATTGAAGATTGCCAATTTTTTTGCCCTGCGAGACAGCTCTATACAGACTTGAAAAGAGGCTAAAAATATAATTTAAATTACTTCCACTTATATATACAACTATTATTTCGCTTCTTGGTTATAAACTATACCTATCTAAAACAATCCAAGATGAATACTCTGTAAATTCACAGCATCAGCGTCTAGTAAATACATGTATGTTAACGATATTAACGGACGACCTTACTTGAACACATTCTGCACAAACTCGAGCCTAACCCTGAGCAACAGAGTGGTCTTAGCCTCTTTACGCGGTTTTTTTTTGTTTGTTTGTTTGTTTTTGTTTGTTTGCTTTTTGTTTTTGTTTT